GAACTTCTTCCCTCTGAGGGTGACGGAGCCCTGGCCCAGGCTGCCCAGGGAGGCTGTGGAGTCTCCTTCTCTGGAGATCTTCAAGCCCCACCTGGACGCGGTGCTGTGCAGTCTGCTCTGGGTGACCCTGCTTGGGCAGGGGGTGGCACTGGGTGACCCCAGAGGTCCCTTCCAACCCCGACCGTTCTGTGATTCTGTGATTCAAGGACCCCGACTTGATCCAGCGCTGATGGAGCCACGCTGAGCTACACCAGCTGGTTACTCGCTCCTAAAAGCTCTCCTTGAGCAGTTCCAGTTGCAACGAGGCACCCTTCCTCCACACACGCGCAAACCCAGCGCGTGTCCCTTCCCATCACAACAGGCAGGGCTGTCCCAGGCAATGCAGAGGTACAGCCACCCCCCTCTGTCCCATCCTGGGGACATTCCCCTGTCAGCCCATCACCGAGAACATCCCTGTCCCTCCAAAGCCACGGGGCAGCTCGCATTCAGGGTTTAGCCAAGACCCCAGATTTACTATCATGAGTAAAAAGCATTACAGGGTCTCCAGTGGCCAGGAAGCCCCTGGAGCAACAACCTGGCTTAACAGCAAACCAGTTCCAGTGGCAAGAGAATGAACCACACTGGTACAAGCTACAACCAAACCATCACCATCCCGCAAGCCTGGCACCCAGAGCCCGTAGCACCATTCCCAGCAGCCTCTCCACGTCCCCTGCAAAGCTCCTTCTGCTCTCACACAGGCCCACGACTCCTCAGCTCACACGCACACAAGAATATATCTGCCAAAAGCACCTTTGGATAAGCTGGAAAGTGTCCCCAGCCATTGAAGGTGTCCTGGAGCACCCAGCCCTGCTGTGCAGCGTTGCTGCTCCTGACCTACCAGCAGGAAGGGGCTACGAGCCAGTATGTCTACCCCACATAGGTGCATATCTAGAGATATGACACCCTCTCCGCATCTCCCAGGCTTCCAGGAGGACAAGGTGCGTGGTGCAGGACATCCCAAGACAGAAGAGGCGTGAGGAGCCAGAGGAAACCCTCTCGCCGTGCCTTGTCCTTCCTCCCAAACCTTCCTGAGCCCTACTCTTCCTTCTCCCCCCTTCCTACTGCCCTCTCTGCCAGCCACCCCTCAGCACCTTCTCCTCTTCCAGCCCCTCTCGAACTTCCCCACTGCCCATCGTCCCTTCCCTCCCCCAGATCCCTCGGGACCCTCCCGAGTCCCTTCTCCTTCCGCCTCTCCACCCCTGCCCCGGCCTCTCCTCCGCCCTTGCCAGCTGTGAACCTTGGCATGGATAGAGCCATTGTCCTCCGGGCATCGGGGCCGAGGAGGAGGAGGGGAAGGTGTGAGAGGGGACACAGTGGAGCGTTTGTGCGTGTCCCCGCAGCCGTCAATGCCCTGCTTGTCCATTCATGCTCTAAGATGGCAGGAACAGCAGCACCCACACAAGCGTCGCCATTTGGCGGGGTCCAAGGTGCCTGCCCAGGGGGGCACATTGCCCCGTTTGTTCCGAGACCCACAGAGGCAGAAGACAACGCCTTTATCTCCCTCTCTGGACCGAGGGTGTCGGAGGGCTGGCAGGGGGGACAGTGGGACCAAGAAGGTCACTTCATCTGGCTGCCAAGAAAGCCAATGGGATCCTGGGGTGCATCAAGAGGAGTGTGGGCAGCAGGGCGAGGGAGGTTCTCCTGCCCCTCTACACTGCCCTGGTGAGGCCCCATCTGCAGTGCTGTGTCCAGTTCTGGGCTCCCCAGTACAAGAAGGATGAGGAGCTACTGGAGAGAGTCCAGCGGAGGGCTACGAGGATGAGGAGGGGACTGGAGCATCTCCCCTACGAGGAGAGGCTGAGGGAGCTGGGCTTGTTCAGCCTGGAGAAGAGAAGGCTG